GTGTGTGTGTGTGTGTGTGTGTGTGTGTGTGTGTGTGTAGACACACTACAATACTCTGCAATATCCTCTATGGCTCAGCCTGTTGGTGCAGTCAGCTGTGAACTAAACTATAAGGCTAGAAGCCATGTGGCTGACCATATGCTGGAACCTCCAGGTTTGGATCCTCAGCTTGGCCTGAAAATATCTCTGGTGGTCACGTGCGGGACTAAGAGCTTGATAAGCTAGAGCACTGGGGACAGGGCACTGTGACCTAGCAAGACTGTGTCAAGGGTACTTCTCTCACGTACACATGTGCTATCATTTATCAAATAAACTTTAAAAATATATGTACATCCATAACATGAAACATACATGTTATATATATAAAACCTGAGCATGGATGATTCCACTTACTCCTCACAGCCAGTTAAAGGTACAATCACGTCCACTTCAGAGGTGAGAAAATCAAGGCAGAGGTATCTGCTTACGGTACCATCTACCATTACAGTCTCCATAAGAATGCCTCTCTTGACCCAAGAGGTAGGAACTGTCATTTTATATTATGTTGTTGAAAAAGTCATGATGCCTTTCTGCATAGAAAAATGTCACAACTTTTCTGACAACCCAGCACCTATAGAAACTGAGGCACAGGGTATAATGGGGCCTAGTGGTTAAGGGAGCTAGAGCCTACATGGCCAACAGCATGGTTCAAATCCTATTTCAGTGGCTTCAAAAACATGTAAGAGGGACCAGCAGATGGTGTAATGGATACATCGCTGGATTTCCACATAATTGATCATGGTTTGAGTCCCAGACCCAGAGCTTAGAATTCACATCAGAAGCGTGTGCATGTGTCCAAGATCCCGAGAGGAGAATGGAGAAGGGATTGCGGCATAGCCACCTCCACCCCCCCCACGGTGGGGGTGATTTCTCACTGTCTACCACTCTAGCAAGCACATATGCCCTATAGCAAAAATCTTTTTTAAAATTTAACTTTATTATTTTCCAGTTTGATCAGACAGACGGGGGCAGGAGGAGAGAGGGGAAGTGAGAAAGTAAGCCACCAAGTTCAGGATTCAACCGTGGTTGGCCATGTGGGAATCCAATGCTTTGTTTATTTATTTATTTAATTTTATTTATCATTTTTATTATTTTAAAATTTTTCTAGAGAGACACAGACACAGAGAAAAAGAGGGAGGGAGAGAAAGAGAGAAAGCAAACCACCAGGTCCGGGACTTGAACCATGGTCAGCCATGTGGGAATCCAGTGCCTTAATCACCATGCCACCTGTTGGCCCGGGGAATCCAATGCCTTTAACTACCACGACACCTGCCGGCTCTGCAAAAATCTTTGGAAAAAAAAGAAAAAAGAAAAACATGCCAGGTACATGTGCATATGCAACCCCAATCAGACAGGATGCAGAAATGGAGAAGGGACTGTGATGTGACCACAGCCCACTGGGAGATGCTTTCTCCCTCTGGTGAGCATCTGTACCCTCTGACTTGTAAACAAAAAATGAACAAATGGAGGTACTGACAGGTGTACTAACATGCCATAATAATCACACAGCCAGTTAGGAAGTGGTAGAGCTTACGTTTGTACCCAGACAATCCAAAACCTGCCTTTTTTTTTTTTTTTTATAAAGACTTTTGTTATAGGGCACGTGAGCTCACCAGAGAGACAGAAAGTGAGAAATCACCCAACAGAGGGGATGGTCACACTGCAATCCCTTCTCATCCATTCTCCTCTTGGGATCCTGGGGACACATGCCCAGCATGAGTTTCAAGTCATGCATCCAGGACTCAAACCATGGTCGGCCACATGGAAGCCCGACACCACTACACACCTGCTGACCTAGAACCAAAATTCTTATTTTTTCAGTAAGAGATTTTTGCTATAGGGTGCATATGCACGCCCAGAGAGAAAGATAGCAAGAAATCACCCCCCAGGGGAATGGCCATACCGCAATTCCTTCTCCATTCACCCTTCAGGATTTTAGGCACGCACCCACACATGCCTGGCCTGAGTTTCAAGCCTTTGGGTCTGGAATTCGAACCTCAGTTGGCCATGTGGGAGTCCAGCGATGTAATCATCATGCTATCTTGCTGGTCCCCCAAACTATTAAATGACACAGGGCCAGCAGATGGCATAGCAGCTACATTGCTAGACTCCCACATAGCTGACCACGGTTCACGTCCCGGACCCAGTAGCTTGAAAATCACATCAGGTGCTTATGTGTGCATGTGTGCCAAGATCCCAAGAGGAGTACAGAGAAGAGAATGTAGGGTGGCCATCCTCCCTGAGCGGTAGTTTCTCACTTTCACTGTTCTCTGTCTCTCTGGCGAGCACAAGCATCCTAATGCAAAAACCTTAAAAAAAAAAAAAAAAGAAAAGAAGCGGTGCTATCAAATGCAGGAGTGAGGAGATGCAGTGGTTGTTTAAACTAAAATGAATATGGAGTTTTTTGTTTTTTTTTTTTGAGATTCTTGTTATAGGATGTGTGTACTTGCTGGAGAGGCAGAGAAAGTGAGAAATTACCCTGTGCCCCTACACCCCGGTAAGGGCAGATGGCCATGGTGCAATCCCTTCTACATTCTCCTCTCAGGATTTTGGGCGCCCACACACCCCCATGGGGGCAGTTTTAAGTCAACAGGTCTGGGACTCAAATCGCAGTTGACTATGTGTGTGTCCAGTGATGTAACCATTACGCCATCTGCTGGTCCCAAATATAGAGCAATTTTTAAATATTCAGTAACATGGCAGGCTGGCCACAATTTAAGTGCTTCATAACCCGATGTAGCTATCAACTGTTGGAGTGGACAGTGCAGCTCCAGAACAGAGAGTAAACATCTCAGGAAGCCCCACTGGAGGGCACTGGAGCCCTCCATAGTCTGTTGGTTTGGGTTAGCAGCCAGTATTTAGAAATAGGGATATTTAATATACTAGGTTGTTGGAAAAATCATGATGTGTTTTCCTATGCAAAAAATGCATCATGACTTCCCTGATAACCGAATAAAAGTCCCAATTTCTGGCTTCTACTGAAAAACTGGAAGATCAAGCAATTCTAGGTACACCTTCCAATGGAACCAAGCTGGCTGGTTTGGGCAGCAGCTGCCCCATTGAGATGGGGTGACCTCTGCCCACCAGAGTCCCACAAGGCCCACACTACATGCATTTCCACAGCAGCCTGGCAGTTACCTGGCTATAAACCCCCAGTACCATCCTTTCATCTCTTTCCCACACATGGGAGATATGGGACCAAAGAAGAAAAGATACATGTTTTTTTGCAGATCACACAGCACACAGACAGGGCCAAAAAGGAACCCAGGTTTTCCAATTCCCAGGTCAGGATTAAAATATAACTCTGATCGAACAAAGCACCCACTCTGTGCTTCACAGCTGGTCAGCCACTAAGGGGTGATGACCCCAGAGTCCTGGACCATACCCCAATGCCCCCATCGGCAGACTCTTCGGACACAGGAGTTGTGGCGTCTGGGATGCACTTTATTGGACACTTGGCTGCCCAAGCCTTGGTCTGGAGTACTGGGGCCTGGGGCCCTGGATCCAGGCCTAGAGTTTGAGGATGCCCAGAGTTCAGGGCTGTTTGGAGCGAGGCCACAAGCGGCTGGTGAGAGAGCCAAAGAAGAGGTTCTGCTTGTTGGTCTTGGAGAGCTCGGCCAGGCGCTGCTGTTCTTCCTGCACTCCGGGGACAGGTGAGAGGTCAGTCCAGGGTGGGCAGAGCCTCCTCCCAGATTCTCAGGTGCCTAGCCCTCAGCCCTCACCCTTCCTTCAAGTCTCTTCACAGCCCAGATCCATTTGCCCAAGCCCCTGAACACCAGCCCAGACACAAGAGGAGCCTAGACTCTGGCGGGCCTAATCTGAGCCACGGGATCCCGTCTTACATATTTGGGGAATGCCACACTTAAATCCCAGGCACTCAGAGTCTTCATTCCTGAACATCAGCAGGTTCTCAGGCCCCAGACTCTTATGAGCCCCTCCTCTAAGTCCCAGGGACCCTATGTTGAATCCTGGGAACCTATCTCAGACCCCATCACAACAACCTGGATGTTAGTGAGACCCTAGGCCCCAAACCCACAGCCTCGTTCACTAGAAAGCATCATCCTGACTCCTGTCTGGATCCTGGGGGACCCCAGACTCAATCTCCAGCGAGTCCTCTGGCTCCAACCCTATCTTTAGGAATCAATACAGAATCTAGTCGACCTCAGCCTAGACCCCAGGAGTAGCTTTCCCAGACTCAACCCACATTCTCAGCCCCACTTCTCTATCACCAGGGTGGCCCTGAGACCCTCAGAACTCCTTCCCCAGGCCCTTGGCAAAGTGCCCAGGGATCCCTCTTCCCAAGCTAATCTGAACCTGCAGTCCACCTCCACAAACTGCCCCAGACCTCAAGACCATCGAGGATGACCCTCTCCTAGGCCTACTTCACTGCTGCCTGTTGTCAGAGTGGGCTGCGGAACGGACTCACCCTCACTGCAACAGCCCTACAGGACAAGCAGGAGTGTTCCATCCCCAGGTTGGACAGAGTTCGAGGTGAAGAGAAGGTCACGGAGCCAGGCAGGGAGCATGGGCAGGCTGCTCCAGGGCTCCTCCTGAGGATCTGCAGAACTGACCCCCAGGTTTGGGGATCTGAGTGCCCACCTGCTCAAGCCGGCTTTGCCGCTGTTTGAAAGCCTCCAGCGGGTCGTCCTCCAGGGCGTAGTGCTCCAGCACGGTCCGGACATCCTCCACATTGTTCAGTGCAATGGCTGCGGGTGTAATGGGTGGTGGTCAGCTGGGCTTCTGGAGGCCAGAGGGAGACAGGGCCCACAGGGTTCAAGTCGAGGATGGGCAGGGGTGTGTGTCAGTGTTATCTGGACGCTTCTTGATGCTCTGAAAACGCTCTCCTGGATGTTCCCAAGGATCCTTTCAATATTCCCTAGGAGCCCCACACTCTAACAAGCCCTGAAAGATTCTAAGGGGTTTGGGCCAGCCGGTGGTTAAGGTGGCTGAATCCCACATGACCAACTGTGTGGTTCGAGTCTGGACCCAGTGGCCTGAAAACCAACCAGGCATGTGCGAGTGTGTCCCCAAAGTCCAGGAGGTGAATGCAAAAGGGACGACAGTGTGGCCATGCCCAGGGTGTACTTTCTCACCTTTCCTATATCTGTCTCTGCCAATGAGCACCCCGTACCCTCTAGCAAATTAAAAAAAAAAAAAAAAAAAAAAAAAAAGACTCTAAGGGGAGCATGGACCTCCTGCCTCTCAAATGCCCAGTTTTACATGAAACACAAGGCAGAATCAAGCATCTGTCATCCCTCCTGAAGGGGGCCCTAGGGTCAGAGGCCAGGAGGTCAGAGGTCAGCCTCACTCTTGAGGAAAGCAGACAGATCCAACAAGACCCGGTCATCGGAGTTGCCATCCCAAGGCCGCAGGGCAACACCATTATAGGGCTGAAGGCGGAAGGCTTCCTTCTTGCAGTCCACGACTACTACACGGGCCGGGTCTCGATTCAGGCATGAAATGTCCTGGGAACGAGTGACAGGTCAGGTCAACATCTGTCTGTCTCCCCTCCCCACCAGCACAGATGGAGACAAAGCACACACAGGGATCACTGAGGCAGGGCCTCCCAAAGACCAAGCTTAGATGATGGCATCAGCCACCCCCACTGCCACCCCCCACCGCCCCAGGAAAGCAGAGAGCAAGTCACACAGATTCTGAGACCTGGGCCCAGCACACAGAGAGGCTGACTTGGAGGTTCCCCAGGGAGGGAGCCAGACACGTGCATGATTAACTACTGCCCCAGGTAACATGCCGTAGGTTTAAGGACCTTTCATCCAGATAAAGCAGGAAAGACAGACCCATGGCAACTCACAGGGGGTCACACAAAGACAGACACCCAGACACAGACCCTTCAAGATCCTCAATCACAGCCCATGTACTTCAGAATCCTCTAAAACAGCAGATGCCCAGATCCACCAAGACATGGACGGAAATCCGACAGACACTTAAACACAAAGATACCTGGAGCCAGACTCACAAAGAGGCCCATTCACAAACCCACAGACGGCAGGGTATGCCAATGGCCACCATAACCACCCCAGGTCCAACTATCACCGGCCCCCACACCCAGTCTCACATAAGCTATTTCATCACACAGTTCCAGAAACACTTGCTCAGACACAGGGACAAAACCAGCCTCCAAAGCCCTTGTCCCTAACATTCGGTCCCACCTGTTTTTAGGGAGACCCTGCTTCTCCACACTC